CAAAAGATAAACACCATGGCAATAAAAATTGAGGTCAAGAAGTTATCACAAGATAAAAGAAAACAAGAATGGGTGTTAGTAAACAAAAAGAACACTGAACCAATAGTAGACAAAGTAGTCAAAAAGAAAAAGAAAAATGTACTGATAGATTATTGGAGCATATCACAAGTTGAAGGAGAAAGTTACTCAATACTTATAGAATGTAATAAATATAATCTGAGTAGCAGTAGTAGTACATACAGGTGTCAACATTAGGTTAAGAAGAGTGCAATAGTAGGAGTATTATCAGGAGTAAAACAGATGTATGAGCAAAAGATACTAGTTTTGCTTGAAGAACTAAAAGGGTACAATAGGTGTCAAATTGAGAAAGATGATATAAGTAATGAAAGAGCCATAAGTAGAAAAATAATAGTATATAGTTATGAAATTAATTTATTGAAAATGCAAGTCCTAAATGGCAATTTAGAGAGTATGCTGTTAGAGCAGTTGGAAAAGAACATTATGGATAGGCATATAAAATACAAGTTTTATACAGATGGGTTATTAGTAAAAGAAGAAAAAGAATATAAAATGAGTGCAGGTTGGGTACAAGTTAGTGATGATGAAAAGAAGGTTATAATGAAGGGTAAGGTTAGATTAGAGAAATAGCCATTATCAACAAAAGCAGAGTTAGTAGCAGTAATGATGATAGTTTTAGTTATAGCTAATAACAGTAGAGTAGTGATTAAATTAGATAGTTCAGCAGCAATAGCAAGTCTGAAAAGAGAGAAGCCTATGTTTAACATTAGGGCATGAAACAAAACCAAAAACTTCAGATTAGTAACAAAGATCAAAGATATGTGCAAGTCAAAAAATATTAAATTAGTGCTAATCAAGGTTAAAGCATATAGTGAAGTAATATAGAATAAAAGAGCCAACAAACTTGCGAAAGAAGGCACATTGTTAGGTGAATGCTTAGATCTAAAACTTGAAAGAAATTGCCAATTTCCATATATGCTATATTAGAAAGACTCAGTAGTAGAAGTACCTACTAGAAAATTTATAAAAACATTAATGAACATAATGAATGGTGCTAAATGGTGATGCTCAAAGGCAGTTAGAGAACTTGAACCAAATATTGAAGGTCAAAGAGATTGGAAAGCATTGTGAAAGGAAAACAGAAGTTTAACTGGAGTTAAATGTAAATCACTAGAGGTGAGTAAGAAGATAGCATTTAGAGTTAAGTGTATAAGCAATAGTTTGCCAGTTCTTGAGATACTAAAGAAGAGAATACCAAACATATATGAGACAGATGAATGTAAAGAATGCTATAAGAAACAGAAGACATCAATACATTTGCTTAGATATAAAGAGTACAGTAGGTATTGGAACAATATTGAAGAGCTGACATACTAATTAGTATAGAAAAAGCTTGATAAAGTAGATAAAAGCAAGGTTATGAAACTTGAAATAAGCAAAATACTTGTTGAAAGAACTTCAGCAGATGAGGTTAAGCACCATGAGTCATTTATACATGGCTTAGCAATGGAAAGTATGTTTAAGAAATTATATGTGAAGCAAGTGTCACAAAGAGATACAAAACATTTTGTAAAACTATATATCAAGATTGTTGAAGAAATGTTTAAAGAAGAAATATAGTAGAAAAGATGTAAAACAGTAGCCAAATGGGAAGATGAGAATGAAATAACCTCTAAGGTAAAACAATGCAAAATGAAGAAAAATGAAGATGAAGACTATAGTTCAAAAAGAATCAAAAGTAGAAGAGACAACAAGAGAAGTATAACTAGTAAAATGAAAGCTGTTAAAGATAAAGAGAGAGAAGCAGAATGTTTTCAGATATTTAATGAAAGAGTGAATAAACTAGTACAGAATGAAACAAATCCATTCTGGTTTAGTTCTTGACAGAGCTGACAAGGTCTTCTAGTTTAAGCATAAACTGATGCAACAAGTCACATTTGAGTGCAGTTTCTGTACTTGGGTAATGCCAGGCTTGCAATTTCAAAATGTAAATTACTAGAAATAGTTAATGTTTTAAATAGTAAAATTTTGTATCTGAGCTCTAACAAGACTGTCAAAGAATAAAAAAAAAAAAAAAAAAAAAAAAAAAAAAAATAAGAACTGATATAATATCCTTATTGTAAAATATTTACTATAATATATACTATATATATTAACTAATCAAATAAATGTTTATAAAATATTTTGCAATAAATAATTAGACTATCCAATTATTTAAAAAAATTTTTAATTTTTAATTATCATTTTATTAATCTAATAAAAAATTTTATAAAAAAAATAAAAATACCAAATATCAAATAAATATACAAATTAATTTGCATTAGGTTACTAATTTTTGTGTTTAAAATTTTTGTTTTTACTATTATTAATTATTACAACTAATATTTTGCTTATATTACACTTTTTTTTTTTTTTGTATGTGTTAAACTAGCTTCTTTTGGAGCTGAGGTTTTTTATTCAGTATAGTTAGGATATAGAAACTTACAGCCAAGGCCTCAAAGGAGTCACTTTATATTAGAGAGTACAACTAGTCACGTATATACTTTTGGTATCTAATTAAGTAGTCCACTAATGGTTCTATACTAGCTGCCATACCTGCAACCCAACTAGGGGTTTGCCTATTTAAACCTTCTGTACTGCAACCCTTACTGTATCACTAGATCATCTCTGCTATGTAAGTTAGTCGAGAAGGTCTAGATGCTTACCCATATCCTTAGGACTTTGTACCTTATTTCATGCAGTGTATTCTTAGAAGCATCATTATTAGAGCCTTCTATATCCTACATACAGCAACCTAGTTTTATATAACACACTATAGTTACCTAACACTTGCAGTCAGGGCTAACTTTAAACTGCTATGTTATACTATTTCTACTCTTGTAAAGTTCACCCAAATCCTAGTACTTATCTTTCTGACATCTTCTCTATTATCTCTTACTAGCCGTAACTCAGAACCATTGGTCTTATTTCAGACTACCAATCCAGATGGCCTGGTATGGTATATCTTAGTATTCTTTTTCTCTGGCAAATCTGGCAGCCTGGTTGGTTATATGCTCCTCTATACATCTTGATGTCCAGTTTTAATCTTTGGTTCCTATGAAAGTGTTTTGTGGGCTTCTATCAGTTTGACAGCATCATCGAAAGTTTGTGCTATCTTTTTATTCAGAAATTTCCAAGTAGGATTCTGTCTTCTCAGTTCTTTAGTCTTCTATATCTAGTAGTCTTATCATGGGTTTGCACCAAAGTCTTATGCAACACCGGTTATTAACATTCCTCTATATATATGTAATGTTACACTTTACATAGATGCCCCGAGCTCCCAATATCGATAGGACTTCAACTTGGTGTACCTAAGTTATAGCTGCATGAGGCCAACTGATCGACAGAAGACAGTTTCCGTAATACAGATATAATTTTCAAATTTCGTCATAGGTGGGATTTGAACCTTAGATCTGCCACTTGGAGGATGACAACCCAACCACTATACTAAGATCGCCATCCTCATATTACACTTTTTAAAAATTATATATAATATAAAATATAATATTTTATTAATTTTTTGTTGAGTTAAAATTATATAATAACTTCTATATGCATTTTTAAATTTTAAAATAATTACATTACATTATGTAACATTATGTTTTACATAATGTGATGTGCATAATGCAGAATGCCTATCTCTAATTACAGGTATCCTAATTCAATTATTAGTAACAGTTGCAGTAATACAAATATTGCATAGGTAATTATCTAAATTTTCACTATTAATGAGATTTGAATATCCAACCTACTACTTAGAGGATTGACAACCTGACCACTTCACTAGGTTACCACATCTCTAAACTAAACTATTTATATATAATCTTTTAAGCTAGTCTAATACAATTTTTAAATTTAAATAATACTTCAACCAATGTAGCAAACTGCTTCTTAACACTTATCAAAACAATTGAAAGATATTAAACTAAAAAATTAAGTCAAAATATATACAAATTTGTATATACAAATTTAATAATGATTAATGATAAGACTGTTAAAAAATTAAAAAATTAAAAAATAGATATAAAAGATTATTGCTAATTTTTCATCTAAGTAATATTATTTAATTGTATAAAAACTAATTAGATTATATAATCAAAAAAAACAAATAACTTAAATAACTTAATATTTTATTATAAAAATTATGCTTTGACTTTTAAGCAAAAATCTTCAGTGTCAAAACTTTACATATAATTAATTTTTTTTAATCTAATCTAAAACCAACCCTAAGCTCTAACCTTAAATTTATTTTACTTGTAATAAAAAATTTTATAATACTGGGTGATACGTATTACGTACCTAAAGTGAATAATCAATATAAAATTATTGTATTTTTTAAAAAATCGGGTATAATTCAAAATCTTTCTTATGAAACCATCTTTTAAGTATTACTAAAAAAAATAAGCTATTTTCTGTTCCATTCCAAACTCACACTTACTCTGACCTTAGGCGTTTAACTTTTCGTTTTATACAAATTGGTTTGATTTGCATGTTACACAGATTTGCAAATAAAAAATGATGCGAATGATGTTAAAATCGGATGAATGATTGAAAGTACAACCATCTATCTATAATCTTTTAATAACTCTAACCTTTAAATTCTAATTTAACTTTAAAAAAAGCCGACAAAAAGATCACCGCCTTATCGGTATATAAAATTTAAAAAGCTATCAGATCTAAAAAAGAATTGTGGCTAAGCATTTTTTAAACTTCTCGGCGATTAAAAGCCGATAAAGATTTTATACATGTGTTTATGGTTATACCGAACCTCTGAAACTGCGTGATGGCTTTTGACATACGTGTAACAATAGTTAATATTTATTACGTATATACGTAAGCATGTAAAATAATAACTGCAGAATGGAGTATAGGAGAGCCAACTACGGTTTACCTATTTAAAGGAACCTATTAAGCGATCCAAACATAATCGATCAGCTTTTCTCATGTTTTCTCAATACGCAAAAGACTTTTTGAATAGAAATAGAGAGTCTACTTCCTCCGTTTCGTCTCAGGAACCGGGAATATCATTGTTTTATTCGGTTCCTACGTTACCAGCAGAAGCCGAGATTCGCGAATCTATTTCGTTACAAACTTCGCGAGTGCTTTACAATCAATATGACGACGACGACGAGTATCAAGATCAAGGATCTGAACCTGATGCAACGTTCTTAACAACAGTTCCATTAACGACTCACCAAACCACACAGGTTAGAGGAATGTTGTATTGCTTTCTGAAATGATTGGTTGTTAGAAAACTTAAATTTTTGACATTGTAGACTGCGGCAGAGATCTATCGCGATGTTCCTTCCGCGATCGCAACTAGAATTTCCAACAATACTATGTCCGAGGGATTACTTCCTTCGTCTTCGGTAAGTTTTTTTTTTTTTTTTTAATAAAATGATTTTTATTAAGAAATATATGTATATACGATAAATCGCTTTTTTCTTAGATACCACCACCTCTGTTATCGGGGCTTTCACATCGCAAATTTAAAGATCCAGTTTTTGCGGTTTTGTTTATTATTGGATTGACAGCAATGACCATAACAGGCGTCGCCTTATTATTCACGACTAGTGTAAGTTTTAATTATTTCAAAGAATGGGGTTTCCTTATGAATTAACAGATAATCCTAACCAACTTTAATTTTTAAACAGTCATATCCATTCAAAGACCCTAGCATTATTCACAAATCAGTGTTTTTTGTTATTCGCGATAGTTCATGTATGATCATTTACTTTAAAGACTTGGTTATATCTATTCTATAGATCCTGTTATAACATTTTATTTTGTCTTGCAGGGCCCCTTTTCTTTTCTATAGCATTTTCTTTATGTTCAAGTCTTGCTTGGTTATTTTTTATACTCTCATTTGTTCAGGTATGCAAATTTTTTTTATTTGCATAGAATCCGAAGATGCAATGTGCATAATGCTTTTAATTTTCAGCCTTTAGTATGGGGAATGTTAATATCTGTTCCTTTTGTGTTTGCTGCGATGTTTGTTTGGGCTTTTGCGACAGCTTTAACTGGGCCACTTAGGGAATCTGGAAATCCAGACCCACAGGATAATTGGTATGCTTAAACAAAAGTCAACATTCATTTTATATTATACATAAACATATAAATAATCTATGTTATACTTATTGCAGGCTCTTGACTCTGTCATTTATACCATTATTTATATCTTTCGGATCTGTTATATTTTTATATACTCGTAGGAAAAGTGTTAAAAAGACAATAAGCATAATCGAGGTTAGTCCATACTCGCAAATATATTTTCTATGAAATCAAAATTATATAATAAGGTTACTAACGTTACATGAATATATTAGCTTGCCTGTGAAATACTGAATGCCAACCGTCGAGTGTTTAATATTTCATTAATTATATTGGGAGTTTATATTTCATTCACAATAATATGGTTGATATTTTTCAGTCGAATATTTTTATTTGGCCATACTGTTCAAACAGCATCAAGTAATAGATAATAACTTTTCTTTGATTGTTATTTTGATTATCAAAAATTTTTACTAAATATTATATTATTGTGGATAAAAGGTACATGGATGTTTTATCAGAATTTGTATTTACAAATATTTTTTGTATTTATGTATCTATGGACATCTGCTGTATTATACAATATTCAAAGGTCAGTTTCTTTCTAAAGATTTTGTCATATTTATTTGCAAAACTTGTGTAGCTTTGTTGTATAATTTTGTTGATTTTTTAATATCTATCTAGAGTGACCCTATCTGGAGTCGTATCTGATTGGTATTTCTACAGGTTTGGTAGAATACGTTTTTATTATAGTACCTGTTGATTTTTGGTCGGACAATTACTTATTATATGCCCATATTTTTGCATTTAAGACATGAAATAGAACAATATTCATCGCAGGATACGTCAGATTTGGCGCTTAGTAGGGCCACTGCAAGTTCATTGGGAACAGTATGCCTTGGTGGACTTATTCTATCTACCGTTCGAATTTTACAATATATAAACGAATTTGCTAAAAAAGTAATAAATTTATATCAAATAATAAAATTATTAGTCATTAATATATTTAATTATAACTGTTATAATAATTATATTTATGTTTGATAGAATATCAGGCGCAACTCGATTTTCTACTTCATAACAGCATGTTTTTCGTGTCTTGACGGAATAATAAGTGTTCTAAATAATTATACTATGATATACGTTGGAATTTCTGGAGAGAGTTTCTGCTCTTCAGCTGTGTTTACAACCAAATTATTTCGACGGAATCTTGTCTTTGGATTAGTTAATGGTAATAAACTTTTTTCACATGTATAGTATATTTTTTGGTAGTACATAAGTTACTCACATTTTATTTCTTTAGACATTATAACAAAGAGCATCCTGTTTATTGGAACTATAATGATCGCACTCTTTTGTGGGTTTGCTACATTTATATATGCCACACATTCACTACAATCACAATATGGGTATGTTGTTGGCATTTTAGCAGGCATTATTACATATTATTTTTCACAATTTTTTGTGTACATTATGAAGGATACGTAAGTCTTTTTTTCAAAATATTTAGACTGCATTTGTTTTTTGTTTTTTTCCTTTTTTCTAAATTTTATATTTGATTTAATTTATAGGGTGGACGCGGCGTTCTTATGTTATGCGATTGATCTTGACACTAACAAAATTCATTGTACCAAGGCACATGAAGCATTTTCCAATTTTCAAATTCAATAAACAATATATAAAACTTTTTTCATTAAACGATACGTAATTTTATGCAAATATAAATCAATTGTAAGTTTTTTTTAATGTATTTATAGGACTCGACTTTTTGAGTGCAATAAAAATCAATGTAAAATATGGTTAAGAATGAGAAATGGAGTCATTTATTTTCGTACGCCAACAATTTATCAAATGCAAATTGAATACCGCATTTACTTATGGGAATACCATTCTAAAGCTATTTTTAAAATTCCCATTTGATAATATGATGGTTGATAAATGATAAATGATAAATAATAGTTGCACATTCTAGATCGCAGTCTTGTTTTAACTTTAGTATTATAATTACAAATCCAAATAAGACCATTTGATAATCAAAGGCGATAGACAACCATACTTTTTGTTATGACTAGTGTTTATAATCACACGATAATCTACAGTAACTAACAAAAAAAAATCCACGTACAAGTTTTAATCTGCAGCGGATTAAATTTATCAGTGTCAAATAGCTTGTTAATTAAACCAATCAGATGAAAGATTTCTTCTAAGGAATGGAGTAAATTCATGTTCCATATTGCATGAAAATCTTTCATATTGTTAATAAACGTTATGAAACTGAGTATGTCGATATGGTTATCTATTTCACTAATTGGAGTACCAAAAAGGTAGTTATATCATGATTTGCATTATTAATCAACTCCGAGTGCACAAATAGATGTACTCAGCATTTAACAAATATGGTTTTTTTTTAATGTTTATGTTATTAAAATTTTAGTCAATGACAATCCCAAAACAATTTTTTTTAGCACCCTAAATTTGTAATATTATAATACGTAAGAATTTATGTACATAAACGTGATATTATATGCATGTACAGTACGTATTCTTTATTCGTTTTGTATTAGTCGAACGGACATAAAATGTCCTTGTTAATTAAAAAAAATAATAATACTTTTTTTAAAACAATATACAGTAATTGGTTCTTTATAATAAAATACCATGCGGGTATTTTATTATTCATTTACTAATTTTTTTTTAGAAAAGAGATTGCTCGTTGAAAAAAATGTTAGTAGAAAATTTGCTGTTAATTATATCTTATACTAATGTTTGAACTAGGCATCGCATAGCATACGTATGTAATTTAATATGAAACATCAAATCTTTATACAATATTGTCTATCAATTGGATACACAAATAGTGCTTAAAAAGAAAATATTTTTATTTCCGAAATAGGTCATATAAGAATTGAATTGTAACACGTTTTCTAATTTATTAAACAAATTAGAACACGAAAATGTACTACGCTCATTATTCTCGTTATCATACAAAAAGAAGCCTATCCTTTTAAAATATCCTTCACCGATTATCCTTTTCAACATTAGGGAAGAGTTTTCTTCCCTACAAGGATCAATACTTTTCCGCTGGTATCATTGAGTTCATAGGACCCCCCCTTTTTTTTTGTGGATTATTTACTTAAGTATTTCTGCTGGCAGTGATACGTCCATACAAATATCAAGAATTATCAAAAAAAAAAAAAAAATCACAAAAATCTTAAATCCACACGTTCTTTTAAAAAACATTTTAATTAATACAAATATACTTCATTTAAAATGGAGTATCAAGAAAACGTTTATTCAAACTATTACGATCAATCCCAGCAAAGAAGAAACCCATCCAGATCGGGGGTGAATCCTCAACAACGTACACCAGTTGGTTATCAACAAACTGTTAGTCCAGCATATGAATTTCCTCAACGACCGCAACAAGGATATCAGTTAACACAACAAGGATATCAGCCAACACAACAAGTAGGATACCAGCAGTCCACATATCAGCCTCCTATTGATAATCAACTTAGAAGGCAACCAACTAATGGTTTTGGCTATGAAAGTATTGCTCCAAATGTTAACAATTATGGAGAAGGAAATTATAACTACGAACAAGAATATGACGAAAAGTATAACAAAAGAAGGGTATGTTAAATTATAAAAACTCGCCAAGAAAAAATAAAATAAAAAAAATACTATATATATATATTTCCATGCGAAACGTGGCACAATATTATCACACAAAAGTTGTTTTAAACTTATTTTATTAAAATCTTGTAGTCTGCTCGTCATGTCGAACTTACTCACGGAAATTTAGTGTTAGATTGTCCAGTACCTGACAAAGTACTTCGTAATGTCAAATATAATGACGGTGAAGAATTTAACACTATGCGATACACTGCTGTCACGTGTGATCCTGACGATTTTGTTCAAAATAAATATCTTCTTCGACCTCACATTTATGGTCGAAAAACTGAACTTATGATTGTTATGACCATGTATAATGAAGATGATAGACTTTTTATCAAAACAATGTCTTCTGCTATTAAGAATGTCGCTCATCTCTGTTCAAGAACCAAATCTAAAACGTGGGGACGTGAAGGTTGGCAAAAAGTAGTCGTAGTAATAGTGTCTGATGGTCGTAATAAGATCCATAAACGAACCTTGAATGTTTTGGGTGCCATGGGTGTTTATCAAGATGGAATTATGCAAGATAGTGTTGCCGGAAAATCTGTAACTGCGCATCTTTTTGAATACACCACTCAATTAATGATTGATAATGAGTGTAATATTCGTGGACAAGACAAAAATATTCCACCAGTTCAAGTTTTGTTTTGTTTAAAAGAAAAGAATGCTAAAAAATTAAATTCTCATCGTTGGTTTTTCAATGCTTTTGCTGCTCAATTGAATCCAAATGTCTGCGTTTTGCTTGATGTTGGTACAAAACCTTCTCATACTTCAATTTATCATTTATGGAAAGGTATGCATTTAACAATTTGGTTTAACAGTTCTTTACATTTATTTCATTTATTTATCATTTTATTTATCATTTTATTTTATTTTATTCTATTCTATTTTATTTTTTTTATCTATTTAAAGCTTTTGACCGTGATCCTTCTGTTGGTGGTGCTTGTGGTGAAATAAAAGCTGAACTTGGGGAAGGATGGAGGAATCTTATTAATCCTTTGGTCGCTTCTCAAAACTTTGAATATAAAATGTCCAATATTTTAGATAAACCATTAGAATCAGTTTTTGGTTACATTTCTGTATTACCAGGTGCTTTCTCGGCATATCGATATAAAGCTTTGCAAAATACATCCCCCAATAGAGGTCCTTTAGCTTCTTACTTTAAAGGTGAAGCTATGCACGGTTCGGGTGCTGCTAATGCCGGTATCTTTGAAGCAAACATGTACTTGGCTGAAGACCGTATTCTATGTTTCGAATTAGTTGCTAAAAAATATGAATCATGGAAATTGAAATATGTCAAGGTATATACAATCTAGATAACTATTATTTCATGTTTATTATTTCATATCCGATACAAAAGTATTTAATATTATATCTTTTATAAATATTTTAGTCTGCTAAAGCAGAAACTGATGTCCCAGATAATATACCTGAATTTATTTCCCAACGTCGTCGTTGGTTAAATGGATCCTTTTTTGCTGCTTTCTACTCTGTTGCCAACTTTACACGTATCTGGACTTCTGGACAACCATTTTACTGCATGTTAATGTTACAAGTTGAATTCATTTATAATGCCGTTCAATTATTATTTAATTGGTTCGCCTTGGTAAGAACAATATAAAACTTTTTTTCATAGTTTATAATTAATATCATGTTTTTATTCGACTCAACTCATTTTCCTCATTATAAATAGGGCAATTTCTTTTTGGCTTTCTTCTTTCTTACTCAATCCACCACTTCAAATCCAGAAACTGATCCTTTCCGAGGTTATGGAAACGAGTTATTTGATGGTGTACGATCGTTATATCTGATGGTCATTATAACGATTTTCATTTCTTCGATGGGTAATCGTCCTCAAGGTTCCAAGTTCATATATACACTTTGCATAGTCCTTTTTGCTATTATTATGACAACTATGCTTTATTGTGCATTCTACACTGTATATCTTGCTTTATACAAAACGACACCTCCAATTAATTTCAAAAGTTTCTCGAGTATCCAAGCTGCTTTACAAAGGGCTGCTTTTCGTGATATCGTAATTTCTATTGTTTCAACTTATGGTTTATATTTCTTTGCATCCTTCATTCATGGTGAACCTTGGCACATGTTTACTTGTCTATTACAATATATCTTACTTGTTCCTTTTTATGTCAATATTCTCATGGTTTATGCATTCTGCAATACCCATGATGTTTCATGGGGTACAAAGGGTGATAATGGTAATTCTGCTAATTTAGGTGGTGCACAGGCAGTGACAGGGAAGGATGGTAAACAAATGTTTAAAGTTGAAATTCCTACTGAAAAAGAAGATATCAATGCTGCATATGATAAGATTACGAGTGAGTTAAAAGTTAAAGTTTACGAAGAGAAACAACATCGAGATAGTTCTACGAAAAAGGATGATTACTATAAATTGTTTAGAACAAATTTAGTACTCACATGGATGTTTTCAAATGGATTCATTATTTTAATCTTTACATCGAATACTTGGCAAAGATATATCAATTCCATTTACCCTGATGGTGCCTATAATCCTTATTTGACCTTCAGTAAGTTATTATTTTATTTATTTAAACCGGGGAGTTTTTTTATTCATAACATTTATTTATAAATTGTTTAAATTTTATTTATTTTTTTTTCTTTTAGTATTTTGGTCGGTTACGGCTTTATCAGCAATTAGAGCATTTGGTAGTATATGGTATTTAGTTCTTCGTTTAGTATTTGGGTAGAAACATAATTAATAGAAAAGAACTTTATTTTATATTTGTAAGATTTTAACATTTTTAGTACTTAATTAGTTGTATAGATAAAACAATGAAATGAATTTATTATTATTATTATACTTTAATAATATTTCCTATGTTTAATAAAAAAAAACCTAATCATTTAAACTTTAGACATAGCGGATACTCTGATAATTATTCATTTTGACTATAGGACCTATTTTAATGTCTGTTTTGTGTATTAATTAATTTTCTCTGGTTAAGGTGATATATAATTCATATCAAATCAGTAGATATGTTTGAAATGAAAGTAAAAGTGAAAATTATATTGTGATAAACTAATTTAGAATTAGAACAAGGCTGGTTAATTGTAAAATAAGGTAGAAATAGGCATGAAGCGAACGCATTCTTAAATGTTGAAAATGGACGTATTTGGTTTCAAAAGAAATAGCCCCCCGTGTGGTGTATCATAATAAACCACACTGGTATGAGTGGTTTACTACGTACTCTCCTAAAACCCCCAAATTAAAGAGTAATGATTAAATAATAATAAAAACATATACGATAAATATAAAATAACTAATTATCTAAAATTATTATTATTTATTATTCGTTGGGCTTTTGTAAGTCTCGTTATTCAATCCCATTCATTTCTATAATATCACGCAATAATTAATATGTTTTCTACCTCTGCTAAATTTTACGTAGTACAGTACCTTATGATAATGATGCATGCATTATGTTTATCATTTTTACATAGTTCCAATTCCTTTATCAAAACAAATATCTAACATTGTACGTTTCATAAGAGTCCTCATTCTTTGCGAATTCTGATAGTAAATGAATGCTTTATATTTAAAGTTCTGCAGATAAACATGCCAGGAACTTTTGCCAATGCCAGTTCCCATGCTTTTAGCGCATGCTGACTAACGTTCTATTTTAGGGGAAACGCCTAAAACTGTGTTTAGTCATATGATTTCAATATTTAATTAATTAGCGTTGGACTAGAGTTAGTTTAGTGTTAAAGTGTAGATCAAGGCTTATATGTAAAATCGTCTTCTCATTTTTAAATTAATTCATTGAAATAGGTCTAGATAGCCGTGTTTACAATTTGATTGGCTGGTAATCACTTGATCGGACACGGCCCTTGTTTTAGGTCAGGGAACTCCAAAAAGAGAGCATCAAGTAAACAAACTTACGCGCAGGTGCACCAATCAGATACCACATTATTTGTAACGGAAACAGTTCATAAAAAAGAACAGATTCATTATATTAAAAAAAAAAAACTTCTATTTGTACATTACGGAATAACGTAAGCTATCCCTTTTAAAATGTTCTAAAATGTCCACTTTTTGGGTTCTAACAAAAAAAAGAAATCCTCACACAATTATGTATAAGCCATTGCTCTACACTTCTACACTAACTGTTAATAAAAATTATTGTTACATGGTTGGTAAATTAATATCCGTGTACAATACACGTTTAAACTAAGAAATTTTCTAAAGAAAAAACATTTTATATTATATTTATATATATATCTATTTGTTTTCGCAAAGACCAGCCTTTTTGCACGTGAAATTTCTCAAGCCATTTTATTGAATAGTAATTGATGGTGCTAATGCGCTGTTAATTAGGTTGTTAATAGGTTGGGTTGGAGTGATTTGGGTTGAGCTCACTCCAACTTATTCTGGAGTCATTCTGATTTATTTAAAGTTGCTTCAGTTTCACTCCGATATATCATTGACCCACTCTACTTTGGGTTGAGCTCACTCTAGAGTATGTCACTCCATTTAACAACCCTACTGTCAATGTTCGAAGTCGGCTAATTAATATGTAAGAATATTGCACTTTGTTCAAACATGGTTAATATTCGAATAGTATTATACTAGACGATTATACTATGCTGGTAAAGAACATTTTCAGAATATGTTCAATGTAACTATGCTTCCTGCGGAATTTTGTTACCAGGAATTACTTGGTTTATTAGAGAAACTAAATAATATAATATATTTATGGCGCCCTAATTGAATATGTCTATTATTCAGACATATTGATATTCGAATGGTATTATGCTAGCTGGCTATGAATATTTTAAATGCAATAATTTACGTTATAAGAACTATTTATTTGAGAAAGTATATTTTATCTTTTTACAAATAGAGTAAAACTTACTGTAGTATTATTTGAATAATGATATTGAAGGCGAATTTAGAACTTTAAAAGAGCTGCTCGTGATTAATTGAATTTTTGCAGTTTTTCATCCAAGGTATTTTACATGAAGGATACAGTAAAAAAAGGGATCTTTTAATTGGTGCAGAATTGACTGTCATATCATACCAGTTCTATTATTCGTAAACAGGTGAGTAGCCGGTGTTTAATTTTTAATTGCAAGAATATTTTAGAAACATAAATTATTAGAAAAATTTATTAAAGTTGATAAAACAGCCCTTTTGAATATTCGATATATTATATTTTATTTAAATATAACTTGATGCAAATGTAATACAGTATGCAAAAAAATACAATTGGAAAATATAATATGCAAAATATAAAAATAATGCTTTAAGAATGAATGCATAACAGTTGGAGTGCGAACACATATCAGTTAATTGCAAATTATTATGCTTTAATGTTTACCTCCATAATTAGCTGATATGTGCCTTAATTAATAATATAGTAATAATATTATGTTCTTGAATAATTAATTTCGCATAGAAACAGTAAGATCGTATTTCTTGGATTTCAAACTTGGTGTAATAAATTGTAATAATTCTATTTCTTGATTTTTAATATCTTTAAAATTGTAACGATGTAGTAGTGTGGCTATCGTGAGCCTCAGTTCCATCCACGCAAAGCTATTTAAAAATAATATTAGTATACGAAAATGCTAAGTGTAAATTGTAAATAAAAAAATTTTCAAATTACTTGATCCCAATACAATTTCGAGTTCCTATTAAAAATTCGGTTTAGTATTAATTTTATCATTAATATAAATATTACTTTTAAAAAATCAGAAACATACCAGCTGAAAATGGAATAAAACAGTCGGGTGTTAATTTTTCAGGTTTCAACCAACGTTCTGGTACGAAGTCTTTAGAATCTTCACCCCAATATTCTTTTGATAAATGAAGTGCTAATGTGTTTGATATCACTATTGTCTAACAAAATAAGAAAAAAAAAAGTACTTTATTAAATAATGCTTTATAATGATGTAAAGAAATATGTCAACGTGAGATTGGTTCTAACCCCTTTTGGAATGAAGTATCCACCAAGAATTAAATCTTCTGTAGCCTCTTTACCCGGACCTTTTTAAAAATAGTAAAATGGTGATTCAAAACTTAAACAAAATACTGTATATTCTTTTTGCATAAAAAGAAAAATAGGTATAATTACCGAAATCTGTATTAAGGCATAAAAAAATGATTAATAACTAGATGGCAAGAAATAAAAGTTTCGATAAAAAAATAAAAAATACCTCTACTAGTAGGGAAAAGCCTAAGACCTTCATTAATAACCCCATTTAAGTAAGGTAAATGTTTTATTTGGTCATGGGTTGGAATTTCTTCACTACCAATTCCTGCTAAAGCTTCATCGATTTCTTTAACCAATTTCTCCAATACTTTAGGGTGTTTGACTATCATTATCATTATCATTGTTGCCGTAAAGCTTGTTGTGTCGCTTCCCGCAATTCTTTTCATGAGAAAAAACAATTAAAAAAACCAGAATATTTTTGAGAGTAAAATTCAAATACTTACAGGAATTCAATACTTTGATCATATATTTCAAAATCTGTTAAACCATCTTCATGTTTTTTAGTATCCAACATCATTTGCAACAAGTCCTTTTTTTGCGATGATTCTTGTCTACGTTGTTTTATTATTTTGTTGGTGAACTGTTTTAAATAATAATAAATTAAAAGTTAATTATATATCAACTTTTTTAATGAGAAACATTCATAAAAATGACCAATTACATCAATAAGATAAGGATCCTGCTTCAAGAAGGGTTTGAAAAATGGAAATAGACTTCTCTAATTAAGAAAAAAATAAAATTCAGTACCTATTTTATGGATATAGGTGAATATAGTTAATGAATACATACCATAACTCTCCTTCTTAATTCACTAAACACTTTAGTCGGCATAGGATGATTTCCATTTGTCACCAATTTGAATGATCCTCCAAATGCAGTCTCGCCAATAATGTCCTAAATTAAAATTTTACTTTAATCATTTCTTCCTCAAAGTTTCTTTTTTTTTAAAAAAAAAAAAGCAAAAAAAGGTGAAAAGCAAGATGATTAATGATTACGTATACACGTAAAAAATAATGAATAGTAATCATGCCACTATATTGCTATTTACCCAGCCATACTAGCTATACTAGCTATACAGCATAAGATTCAAAAAAGCTCACCAATGCATTATACTGAATCAACAAATAAATATTTATATCAGCCTTACCACCACCCTTAGAAATTTTTCCATCAATTTTTGCAATTAAATCATTAATACAAGTGTGCATAAACGGTTCTAAGGATGACAGGTGCTTTATTGAAAATGCTGGCGATAGGACTCGTCTCTAATTACATAAAATGAAATTTACTTTGTAAAAAATGATTTATTAATTAGTCGAAAAGAAGGTAAAAAAATTTCGCACCCTTCGTTTATGGATTTCTTTATCTCTGAATTAAACAAATGAATGTTATCATTAAGGAAAGCATAAGAAAAAAAAACTTCTTAAAATAGAGGTTCGACATTTACCTGGCCGTGAATAAGGTTGAGTATTTCTCATCAATGCGCAAACGTTCATAATTTTTATTTTTTGGCAATTCCTTAAAAATTTAGATATTTCTCATGTTATTTAATGATTAAAATAAATGCATTTAGTCCAAAAATTAAACTGATTTACATTTGTCACCAAAATCTTGATAATAAAACAAAGTAAAAAATCTATGTATTAGAAACCGAATTTTTAAAGTGAGGCATACATGGAAAGAACAAATACCTGTTTAACGA